TAACTGTCTTGGGCCTCCCTGGTGATGAAAGGGGTTAAGCACCACACTGTGAAGCAATCCACAGCCTCTGCAGCACAAGTTCCATCCCTGGCCGACCAGGGAGCAACCCACATGGCACAGCAGACCTCTCCTGACTGGCCTACTGCTCCCGTCTGCAGTGTATTTCAGTCTGCCTGTTCTGTTCCCCACTCTGTCTCTGGTGAGTGAATCTTCTCACTGCCCCCCATCCCACATCTCTGGCCTGTACCCCAGCTCTAGTACACATAAATAAATGAATCTTTAAAAAAAAAACCCCAGTAACTGTCTTGACACTTAGGAGAATGAGAAATAATATGAAAACGTAGGTATCATTAAGGTTGGGGAATAATTTGAATAAGTAAAAATGAACTGGATTATTTCAGAAGAAAGTATTTTCCATATAATTGTATAAAATTGTCTGATTATTTGATATAAAAATAAACACAATACTTTAATAATTAAAATAGTTTAATGAATAATTTTGAAGAGCATAATTCTTCAGTTAATTATAAAAATGAATCATATTTCCGCAGTGTCAGTAGGAGCAGCCATTTCCATTACATTTCAGCCTGTTTAAATCTTAAGCCTTCTTTCCACCTCTTTGAAATACTCACCCATCTCTCCTTCTTTCTTTCCTTCTTATGTATGTTTCACCGCTTGAAACATACATAAAACTGTTCTGTGAAATGTCATCAGCAGCTCTCACATGAGTAAATGTGGTATGTTCATTTCAGACCTAGTCCTGAACAACCTTTGGCCACATTTGATCTTGTAGGCCACCATCCTCAAAAAAGAATTAAATAGAAGGAAGCAGCATACTGCTGTCTTTCTGGTATGTTATTCCCCTTGGAAGTTTCCTCAATCCTCACAAGAGTACTTCTTCCTCTCTGTCTTGCACCAGCAATGCACTTTGTTGCAACATCTTATTATATGTAAGACCTTGTTTTGCTTTCAGTTATTAATGGGGTTGACCACTTAGTAGAGTCAGATGTATTAGGAAAGGAATCTTCTTTATACTGCAACTTTCAACATATAAGAAGCCCTAGCTGAAAGGTTATGTTGTAACGATGTTTATTTTGTTATGATGTATGGAGTTTAGAAATCTTTTCATTAGATATTTGTGCATGTTTTCACCTCTTCTTAAACTTCAAATCATAGCTGAAACTGAGATCTGTGTGAATTTCTAAATTTATTCTCTAATCCTTGCTGTTCAATTACTGGTGTTAGTGAGAGGGTGAAGGAAAAGACTCAGTTGGGACAATAGAATACAAAGTGAAAAGACAAAGGGAACGTTTTTACTTTAATCTTTCCCTGTATTCAGGGAAAGCACCTGAAATACTCTAGGGTAGAGGTGCCAACTTTAAGTAGATGTGTACTCACATTTTCTGTCCACAAAGTGATGAAACAAGGTGAGTGCCAGATAAATTTCATGTCACTTGCTAGAAAAGTTTTGAAAGTCCTATTTCTTTTAATGAAATCAATAGTTATATTAATGATAATTATTAGCAAATTATATGCAATGTGTAATTCAAAAAATGTGATATAGTAAGATAAATTTGTGTATTGACACACTTGTAAGGTTTTCTCTCATTTTAGTGAGTATTCATTGGATTACTCTTAGGTGTCCAAAATATTTGGGATAATATTTTACTTTTCAAATCTCACTTCTACTGTTTTACACATAGACTTCTTTTATGTATGGTGGGATTTCCTTAAATAAGGAATGCAACAGTGCTGCACTAAAATAGAAGTATTTTTGAGAGGCTATTCATACTGTCAGTGGATTTTGTTCTTAATTGGCAGTGCTCTTTTTTTGGCCAGCACTGTATAAGACAGTTTCGACTTTCATTTATGAAAGAAAGTACGTGCTTCGTCTCCTGTGCTCTGTGAAAATGTGCAGTTCTGGCAGTTACACTGGATGGCTTCGCTGTAGTAATTAAAACACAGATGGATCTCATTTCTTTCCCAAGTGTTTGACTGGCAGATACTCCGTGATCAACACTTCTTTCAGTTGAACACCTCGGCACCATCTGCCTGCAGTCATCTAGGAGAAGGTGGTCACAGTGGAATTTTCTGATCATCACATGAACCAATGTAAATAAGTAAATTCCTCTTGTGGACGCCATCACCTGATTTAGAGAAAATTACGTAGGACATATATGAGTTTTTATGACAATTGGTTTGGAATGTAATGAAATATTCATTAATAAGTATGTTTTTGTAATCTGCCACTCCCTTTTTATGATTAAAACATTTAGACCATAACATGAAATCACCGCATCTTAAAAAGTTTAAGTTTCTCAGCAAATTGAGCTGATGGAGCATTTTTGTTTTTAATGAGGTTGTTAGAGATGATTTCAAATCTGAGTCCTGTGTTTTGAACCATTAGTGCAAACATTAGTTACAAATAAAATTCTTGAGTTAAGCTGTTTCCTAAACTCCACACTAAAATATTTCCAAATAATATGCTAATTTAAAAAAATGTGCATACAAGGATGGTTTAACATCCGAAAATCAATCAACGTTATCCAACACATCAACAAAAAGAAATATAAAAACCATATGATAATATCAATAGATGCTGAGAAAGCTTTCGACAAAGTGCAACACCCATTCATGATAAAAGCCCTTGAAATTCTTGGGATACAAGGAACATACCTCAACATCATAAAGGCCATCTATGAGAAGCCAACAGCCAGTATCATTCTCAATGGTGAAAAGCTGAAAGCAATTCCATTAAGATCTGGAACAAGACAAGGATGTCCACTCTCACCACTGCTTTTCAATATAATACTGGAAGTCCTAGCCAGAGCAATAAGACAAGAGAAAGACATCCAAGGAATCCAAATAGGAAAAGAAGAAGTCAAACTATCACTATTTGCAGATGATATGATAATATACATAGAGAACCCCAAAATCTCCACAGAAAAACTAATTCAACTCATCAATCAATTCAGTAAAGTGGCAGGATACAAAATCAACACGCAAAAGTCAGTAGCCTTCCTATACACAAACAATAAATCTGAAGAAGAAGAAATCAAAAAAACCACCCCTTTTATTATCGAAACAAAAAAAATCAAATATTTGGGAATAAATCTAACAAAAGAGGTAAAGGACCTATACAAAGAAAACTATAAAACACTGTTAAAAGAAATAGAAGAAGACACAAAGAAATGGAAAGACATCCCCTGCTCATGGATTGGAAGAATAAACATTATTAAAATGGCCATCCTACCAAAAGCAATATACAGATTCAATGCTATTCCAATCAAAATCTCAATGGCATTCTTCAAAGAAATAGAACAATTATTGATGAAATTCATATGGAATCACCAAAAACCCCGAATAGCCAAAGCTCTAGTGAAAAAAAAAGAAGGAAATGGAGGCATCACACTCCCAGACTTCAAACTATACTACAAAGCCATAATCATCAAAACTGCATGGTATTGGAACAAGAACAGACATACAGACCAATGGAATCGAATAGAAAATCCAGAAATAAACCCACAGATTTATGGTCAACTAATCTTTGACAAAGGAGCAAAGAATATGCATTGGAGCAAAGAAAGTTTGTTCAATAAATGGTGCTGGGAAAACTGGGTCGCTACATGCAAAAGAATGAAGCTTGACCACTACCTCACACCATACACAAAAATCAACTCAAAATGGATTAAAGAACTAGACATAAGACCTGAAACCATAAAATACATAGAAGGAAATATAGGCGAAACACTACGGGATTTGCACATCAAAGACATCTTTACAGACACATCACCCAAAGCAGTGATAGTGAAGGCAAAGATAAACAGCTGGGACTACATCAAATTAAAGAGCTTCTGCACAGCAAAAGAGACAATAACAAAAACAAAGAGAAACCCCACCAACTGGGAGAACATTTTTGCACCCAACACTAATGATAAAGGACTGATCACAAAAATCTGCAAAGAGCTGATGAGACTCAGCAACAACAAAGAAAATAATCCAGTCAAAAAATGGGCAGAAGAGCTAAAAAGAAACTTCTCTGAAGAGGAAATGCAAATGGCCAACAGACATATGAAAAAATGTTCAACATCACTTGTAATCAGGGAAATGCAAATCAAAACTACCATGAGATACCGTCTCACACCAGTGAGAATGGCACATATTAAAAAAACTAGCAACAACAAATGTTGGCGAGGATGTGGAGAAAAAGGAACTCTTGTGCACTGTTGGTGGGAGTGCAAACTGGTCCAACCACTATGGAGAGCTGTGTGGAGATTTCTGGACCTACTAAACATAGAGCTTCCATATGATCCAGCAATTCCACTCCTAGGTATTTACCCAAAGGACACAGAAACATCAATTCCAAAGAGCACCTGCACTCCTATGTTTATAGCAGCACTGTTTACAATAGCTAAGCTTTGGAAACAACCCAAATGCCCAAAAATAGATGACTGGATCAAGAAGATGTGGTACATATATACCATGGAATATTACTCAGCATTCAAAAAAGATAAACACATGCAATTTGCAGCAACATGGAATGGCACTGGAAGGGATCATGCTCAGCGAAATAAGCCAAAAAGAAAAAGAAAAATACCGGATGGTCTCACTCATAGCAGGAATCTAGAAAACTTAAATAAGGGACCAGGAAAATGAATATAAGAAAGTGAAAATCAAAATCAACAAAAAACTATGAACCAGAGACACTTTTTGGGGGGTGGGGGGCGGGAGGGGAAGGATTGGGGTCAGAATGGGGCGTTTGCAATTGTATGGGGGAATATAAAAATAACATTTAATATTAAAAAAAAAAAAACAAACAAAATAAAATAAAATAAAATTAAAAAAAAATAAAAAAAAATAAAAAAATGTGCATATTTATAACTATTAGGAGATTATGATAAATAGTACTTTCAATTTTGATGCAGGTGATATTTTTAATAAGAAGAAAAAGACAATTATTTCATTGTCCTGGAAATATATTTAGAAATGTATGACTTTTACAAATGGATAGTCTAGATGTTCATAACATAAATTTTATGTGTAATTAAATATTGGAAAATTGGCTTGAGCTTCCCCTTCCCTGTTCGAATGGATAAATAATTATGATTGACAAGATAAAAAATAAATGCTTTGTAATACTTATGGGGGAAACTGAATGAATTAGGCTGTTACTTACAGAATGTTAGAACAATGAATAAAGGAATTTGATTGAATAACATTCTGAAGAATCTTGGAATACACTCATTACTTATGGTTCCTGTGGAAACTCATTTATGGTTAAAAGGCAATCTTTGGAACTTTGGCAAGAATTGTGAGATTAGTTTCTTAAGGTTAGTTACTGCCAAGTTGTAGGGAAAAATATGACAAGTTTTGGAAGTGAAGCAATAGAAAAGACAGAAAATAATTATGAGTGTATAGAAATGCTTCATCTTCTATTACCAGAAATCTTTAAAGATAAACTTTGAATTAGCCTCTTATTTTGTCTGAATATATAACCACCTCTATTCAAGCTTGGAATTTTTCAAGGTAAGGAGTAGGGTGGGAAGGAAGAAAAAAGATTTTTAACTTTAGTCATTTAAAATGCATTTTAGTTTATGTAGCAGACATGTTTCCTGAGGAGCCTACATTCTCCTAAGTGTCAGGATGTAAATATTTTCTCTTTTTATTTTTTACATCATTGTTCATTTTTAAGCAATACTTGCTTCCCCCCACTCCCTCAGGTCTAGTCCCCATAGAGTTTCCTTCACCAATGCACCTGTGCACCATCACCTCAGTCCCCTGTGCTCCTCCCTCCCTCCCTCCCTCTGATCCCTCTCCCTCCTCCTCCCCTGCAGGATGTCTCTGATTTATAATTGTCCATTTTTGCTTTGTTGTGTTTTGTACTGTTATTATTTTTTTACACTGATGTCTTATTTGGTTCCCTTATATTCCTGCTATACAACCGGCTAAGATAAGTACCATAAACAAAGTGCTATGGAGGTTCAAAGAAGGGAGTCTCTAACCTAAGAAGAGCCCAGGACACCTGGACACACACTCATTCACTTTAATTTTACTCTCACTTCAACTATCTCTTTCCCAACCTGTTTCTCCTTTGTCAGTCAACAATTTCTGAGTCAACAATTTCTATATAGTTTAGGTTGTAAACAGCCATTGTACTGTGATTATATATCAATATATAATGTGAATATTCAGGGAACCTTCTTCTTTTATTTTCACAACAACCCTACAAGGAAACTACTTTTATTATAACTTTATATTGAGAATGAGGAAATGACCTCAACTATCCACTAGAGGGGGTGGAATGACTCCTGGCTACTGGCTGCAGATGACTGTAGCCTAGTGCCATTGACACCTACACAGCTTCTAGAACTGTTCTAAGATTAAACCTAAGGAAAGGGCAGCAGAGGAGACTGAGAAGGCCTCATGACGATAAGTAAATCTTTCAAAAAGAGGGAAAGTTGTCGAGAAGGGCAACTACAGTCAGGAGAGACTGGGTGCAGGGCAGATTGCTGAGGACACACTCCCTAGCAGGCAGTCACCTTTGCCAGCATGTGGGTTCCCTGTCTCGCCTGCCCACCAGGCTTCTCCACCACTATGTCTCTCCACCACTGTCCAGTTGAACGGGATTTCTGAACCCTTGGACTAGGTATTGGATAGGGTGTGGAAAAGTGCATCTTTTACCTTTAAACATGAGAAGAAATGTGCAGGCCTGAGGGGGTAGGCGTTCCCTGACTTAGTCCCAGGCATTCCACTGGCTTTCTTTGGTTTTTCATTTCTTTGTGGGTTGAAAGTTCTGTAGTCCCTACCAGCTCTGAAAAAAATTTGTGATGATAAGGCTTTAAAGTCTAGCTGAAAAGACATGAGAAATGGATATTAAAATGTTTATCATGTGGAAATTTATATATGGTGAAAGAAGTAAGAATGGAGGTTAACCAGTGTGGTGTGTGGGGGTTGATTGCAGTGGAACTTGACTATATGTTGGTTTACAGGAGTGTGATTTATGAGAATTCATTGAATTGTGTATTTAAGATGTGCATGTCACACACACAACAAAAAAAGAAAGAAATTAAGTAATGTATTTAAATATGTCAAGTCAGTAAGGACTGAAGATTCTAGATTGTGCTGCATTAGGAAGCTGGAGGGTGAAAGTGCTATAAAGAGGTCTCAGGTAGCCCAATGACACACCCTGTTTTTTGTATATGATGAACTATTCTTTTATTTCCCTTATTTTTTTCTTGAAATATTTTTTGAGGCTATTTGAATTTTTTCCTTTTCTTTTTAAATATTCTATCACATTTTTCTTTATCCTTTAAATACTGTCTGTGCTATATCTTCAAATTATCCTCCTTTGTTTCTTTTTTAAATCTGGCGGTTACTGTGTGAGACTCCACATCTATCTAGTGCCTGGTACTTAGTTAACACTACATAAATACCAGCTACACAGAACTGCTGGGTTCATATCATTATGTGTTTGTGCCTCAGCAGGCTGTGTGGTTTCTGTTTAAACAATTAAACAGTCACCTACTTTTTCACCTTTGTTCTATAATGATATGATGTATTAGCACACTTTGTATAGTTCCATTAAATATTTCTTTTGTTCTTTCTTGTTTAAAATTCTTAGTTGTGGTTAACTTTTAAACGCTTATTTTATTGCCTCCTTTCACCTTGGTGGTCAATAACTTATTTATTTCCAAATAGCAAATGAAGAGTAACATTAAAATGGATTCTTTTGTTCTGTTTAGTGTAATAGTTAAAAAAAAGTTTGGCAGTGCATGATCTGCTGTGTTAGATGACAACGGTATTAGAAGATAACAGAACTAAAAATGCATAAAATTAAAATAACGTGCATGGAACAAGACAGAGATTGAAGGAGAGAGTGTTGGTAAAAGAAGTTGGAAAAATGCTTAGTTTAAATGATAAAGTACTAATGTGCAACGTAGCGTAGGATGGGAGGACAGCAGTGTGTGGCCTGCTTGTGGTCCTTACATAATGAACTAGCCCAGTGCCTTTGGTAAACTTAGTCTGCCTGGGTTTCTGCTGCTTTGAATTCATTCTAGGCAGTGCCAACTTAGTGCTGGTCATTTTTGGTCCTTTATTGTTTTAAAAAGCTCAGCCACTAAGCTTTTAAAGTCCATGCTCAAAGTTACTAGATTCCAAAATCCAAAAGCTAACAAAGAGAGGGTATGTCTAGAAAGAATAAGGATGGCATAAGCATCAGTGATTAGGGTGTGACAAAAAAAAAGTGAATTGGTCAAGAGACACAGAGTCCAAGAATGTGACTAAGGTCTAGTCCAGTAAGGCTGCCCCTAATTTCCCATCCCCAGCACGTGAGGGGATGCTGGACACAGGCAGGCAGTTGGGGAAGCGGGAGCATTGGGGCTTAGTAAACTACATGTTTAATGCCCTGGCTTCCAGGAGAATGTAATGCCAAACTATCCAAGAAGTTTAATTTGAACTAGTTTTCATATCAAAAAATGGCAATTTAAGTGGTTTGGATAGAGTGGGAATAGACTATGGACAGTGACTCTGTCTAAAGTCATGGGGATCAAAAGGCTGGGCTTAGAAAACTTTGTGAAGAAAATTAACATGTTTCTAAGGTGCTTCATAAAAATCTCAAATTATCAGTTGTTTTGACATGCCAGATTAATTCAATGCACCAAGATCAATGTATCCCCATTAGGGTGCTCACACCAAGGTCTCTCTGAAATGAGAAGCCCCAGCATCACTTCCATTTTTTTAAGGCTCCTGGATTATCAAAAACTCAATGCCAAAATCCTATTTAAAAATTGCAGCATATCACAAATGTTTACATTTAATTTATTAAATTCCTCTTAACACAGTCACACTATAGGCTCCTGGATTATCAAAAACTCAATGCCAAAATCTGATTTAAAAATTGCAACATATTACAAATGTTTACATTAAATTTATTAAATTCCTTTTTTTTAATATTTATTTATTTATTTATTTATTTATTTATTTATTTATTTATTTATTTATTTATTTATACAAGCACTGGGTACAGTCAGAAGTGCGGGAGGGTGAGAGAATTCACCAGAGACAGAGCGGGGAGCAGAGCAGGCAGAAGGACCGAAGAACACTGCTGAGGGGAGCAGCGGGCAGCAGGAGAGGTCTTGTGTGCCATGTGGGACCCACCTCCAGTGGCCGGGGAGCAGCCACTGCAGAGGCTGGGCGCAGTTTCTCAAGCCAGCGCTCAACAGCTGCGCCACCGGGGAGGCCCTAAATTCCTTTTAACACAGTGACAGTATACCATGGCTGGATGTCTAATCTCATTCGAGGATGACATTAGAAGTCCAAATGTAAAGTTCTTCCGCTAGCCAAATTGCCCTATTTTCTCACTATCATTCATCCATCAAATTTTTGAGCAATGAGTTTGACTTTGTGATAATCTAGTTACAGAAAGGGAACTAACAGCATCTCACACTCCAGCTTTGAAAAGAATAGCACTTCTGCCCCATATTTATTTAGAAGAAAAATGCTTAAACTTCATTAATCTTTTCTTTATGTGTTTCTAGTTTACTAAGCATTAATTTAACTTAACACATTTATTTTATTGTGGTTAGGAGCACTGGGAATGGAAACATTTAGGGTGACATTTGGTTTATTGAAAACCCACAAAACTAGCAGATGGTTTAGGGAAACAGCATAAAGGATGCTACTTGATCCTTAATTCAAGACCATACTTGAAGCTGCATCTGGAAGAGCTATGCCAAGAAAAACATTGAGGTAAAGACTGCTATTCATAAAAACCTAGGAAAATAGGAGATGAATGTTCATGAGCATAGTATATGAAACCAAAAAGACATGCCATAGGTGAAAGGCTCTGCAGGCATTTCTTAATTTGTGGTATTTATTCATAAAACATTTAAATATATAAAAGAGAATTTCATAGTAAGTCCAGCAAAACTTTGTAGCTACATTACTTGATTTTACTTATTCTCTATACAAATGGAAAGTGTCATTTTTAATAGTCACTAGGATAAATAGCCATTGTGTATTTTCATTCCCTCACTACAAATACAGCACCTCCAACTTTTTGTCCTTAAATATTTTCCCAACACCTGCAATATATTTAATGGTGATTAAAAAGCTGAGTATAATTAATTGTTACTATGTATAACTGTGATAACAGGCATCCAGTTATTTTTTGTTATTAAGTTTATTGTTTTGCCATATCTACTCTATTTGTGAAAATTTTTATACTTCCCATGTAATAAATAAGTACTAAATGGCTTTTTTTACCTAATAAAGAAACAAATCAAAGTTATGTTAAATGCAGGTGGCAGCATGTCCTAATTAGTTTTATGGGAGGAGAAGTAAATAACTCAAAATATTCAGACTCTTTGACCATATTTTATAAAGAAATGTAAACTGCGATAGTCCATGCAGTTAGTGTATTATTGCTACATCTCAAAATCCATGTCTAGATGCCAAATTAGACTTCAGGAGACCCTGCAAGATGATAACCTGGTCTGACTACTGAAATTGCCCATTACTGATAAAAG